ATGTCTCGCACCGCGAGGCGGTGTCAGTGCTTGCACGGCCGTCTCGCGGCATGCCTCCGTACCGGGTCCCTCTCTTTGTCATCCGTACGGAGTCTCCTCGACTGGCCCGGCAGTCGCCTGGAGGCAGTACGTTGGGAGAAATGGGGACCCGTACGGAGGAGCGCGAGATACGACCCCTCTGACAGGGGGTAGCTGGTGACGGGGCCGACCACTAGGGGCTTTACTCACGGTACGCGTCGATTCGAGTCACACTTTGCCTCAGAGAGAATCGGTGCTCTCCTTCCGAGAGCATCGACTCTCTGAAACATATTCTCCTTCAGAGAATATGCCATCTTTTTGTATGTAATAATTTCTCGGTATACAGCTAAATGCGTTAATTGTAAGTTAAGTTAAGTCGATAATAAGTATAATATAAGTTCAAGAAAGAAGACATCGATCATCCGCCGTGGGATCTTCATTTTATTTTCAGGTAGACTCAAGAAAGAAGCCATCCGCTGAGGGAAATTAACATTAAAGCGTCTAAGTTTAAGTTACTTTTAAGTTCATTGTTAGTCTTTGTAAAAAGGGAGGTAGATGAAACTAATGGTTTTATCTAGCTTTCTTTGGGTCTCCACTCGCAGTAACCTCCACGTGGTGAGACCCGGGCAATCGGTATTATATTCGGTAGAGTATTGTAAACCGAATATAATACCGAGCTAATGACTGCGAACTCGAGAATGAATTACTCTAGTTATAAGAATGAATGTAAGATCGAATATTTTTGGTGAGTGTTCGATCGTACATGGAATTTAGAATATATTAAGACTAAATGTAAGATAGAAAATCTTTGTTAATTATATGAACACATGAAACTGAATAATAAAGTGTATGAAATCCCATATATATTCGACTATTTTAATAAATTCATATTCTACCATTGAAATAAAGTTGAAGTAATATATTGTTTGAAAGTTTGATCACTTTACTATCCCCGTTACTTTCAGAGATATCAAAAATGTTTATTCACAAGAGTTATTGAAACATTTTACTGAAACAATGTTATATACACCGCACTTTCTGTGATGAAAAATATGCGATTCAAACTTGATACCGTATGTATTGCGTTCCTTCTTTGCTGAGCAACATAGTGGGGTATGCGCATATGTGTGAGAAATACGTGGGAGCAAGGGGGGTTGCCAGTGTACAATAAAAGGGACTCCATTTAACGAATGTCTACTGTAGATACACGTAATAAGAATGGAATATATAACACTTCATTTCTGCTAATAATACTCAGAATTCGTGCGTTATAGGTAACGTCGGGTATTGACATTGAAATGGTAAAACTCTCCGAAAACTGTGAAGATTCGTCAGAAAATATTTACTATCACTCGAATATTCAAATATTCGAATACTCCGTACTATATAAATTATTTGAATACTCGGTACTATGTGAATTATTCGAATATTCGGTACTATTCGAAGAATTCGATTACTTCGTAGTATTCGAATTATTCGAATGCTTCGAATAAAATGTTCGTATTCGAAATTATTCGAATAATTCGAATAGTTTGAATATCCAAATACTTACAGTTTTAGTGTGCATCTTTGTTCTTTCACCTGGAAAATTCATCCGTGAAGCCAACTTTTAGCAGAGTTACAATCAAACTCTCGCTGATCGATCTATCTCGTAAGAACTTCACAATTTCTTCACGTGGACGTAAGGCGGCCACGGAATCTCCCTTTCCTTCTTGCGTCCACAGTTCCTTTGGTTTCTCGACTCTGGCCTTTTCAATCTCTCGACGTCTCAAGAAATCTCCTTCGATTCTTTCGCTCGCTTCTTCGGCGACACCAACATAATCTTCTTTCGATTCTTGCAGACCGGAATCCTTTGGTCCAGACTTCTTCAGAATTTCTTCCAGCTGATCGATTTTACAAAAATTTCGCAAAGTTTATGGAATCACTGTCATTAATGTTTCGCTCGTTTGCAAACTTACTTTACAAGGAGTTTCATCTTTTTCTTCTCTTTCTCTCCCGACTCCATGATCGAGGTTAATTTCATCAGAGGTCATGTCTTTTCCGTTTTGACTGCAGCTATCGGATTACAGGAGCAGAAACTTCACGGCACTTGGATAGAACATTCGTATCGATAATACAAATTATTCTGAAAGATTCAATATAGTATAACAATTGCCAAAACATCGACACAAATATCGTATATATTAAACATTAAACAACAAGCAGGCGGCATTTGGAATTTGTTCTCTTTAAATTTTAACTAACAAACACCTGGAGGGGGCATTTGATACATGTATGCAACGCTGATAAGAAGTACACATACATATCGACGCATTCGTATCTACATAATATTCGTACTATTCGAATTACTCGAATACTCCGTACTATTCGAATTACACGAATATTCCGTAGTATTCGAATTACTCGAATACCTCGTACTATTCGAATTCGTCGAATAAATTATTCGTATTCGAATAGTTCGAATATCCTTACAGTTCTAAGTTATAATTTATAATCCCATATTCGAATATCTTAAAGTTCTAAATCGGGACATACACCCTAGTATACCACGTTTTCGGAAACAGAAACGTCGACGGTTACGCGTTTCCCTGCATCCTCGAAAACGTATCCCCGGGCTAGATGAATTTCTTATCAGGTCGAGTGTACAGACTTGCGTACAGTATAATCTAAATGTCGGGGCCGGCGATCGCCTTATCAAGCCAAGGTTTTTTCAAGTGATTCTCGTTTAGGTGGGTAAAGTGTATCGACACGCGCGTCCCGGATATAAAGGCGTACGCGGTCGCGGATGTTGATCGTTCCGAACCGTCGCGCCAAAATCCGATCAATTCGCCGATACGTTCAAGAAACAACCCTGTTCTCTCACTCTCTCTCTCTCACACACACCCTTCTTATTATTCCGTTTCTGTTGTCGTCGGTTTATAGATTTCCTCGCGATCGTCAAATCGAAAAAAGGAAATGGTGAGTGACAAGTGTCTACTATGTTCTCTTTGTTTTTGTCGTGCGTGACACACGTCCCTTTGTGCCGATCAAGAGATGGTGTACACACGTTCGTTAATACTAGGATTACTATAAAACTGGAATTAAATTTTGGAATATAGTAACATATAAAATATACAAATAACATATGAATATAGTACAATTTAGCATAAGATATTGTAATCTAAAACGTATGGTAAATTAAAAGTCAACATAAATTCTGGCAAAAGCAGTACTGGAATTTCAGTAATCGTAAAATAAAAAATGTGCAATCCGTCATTTTTACGGGTTTGGTAGTTCCATTGTCAATTGACTGTTTGAAATTTACGGGAAACGAAGTCGAATGCATAAATTTTTTGCGGTCGGGTCTGCCTCGAACGAATTGATCGGTCAGACCAGACCAGCGATGCAGGGAATGATAAAACGACACACTGATTGAATTTTTGCCACGGGAACACCCGCGCGATAGCAAGATTTTACTCACGCGATAATAAGTCGGCGACAACATACAGGGCACATAAAGAGCTTAAACGCTAATGCTTCTCGCTATCTGCAATATAGAATATCTATCTTGTAACGTGAACGTTTAACTAAAGGGGGAGAAGGGGAGGGCGAAGAAAAAAAGAAAAAACAAAGAAAAGTTCGTCGCACTAGTTTTTGACTGTTCCAAGTTCACTACAGCAAATCCTCGATGAGTTTTCGAAGTCTCTTCGGTATAAAATATTAAATATTTTGAAACAAATATAATTGGCCAGAATTCCAAGCTCTATCACTGTGCTAAATTTCATCGAAACGCCAGCGTTACACCTGACGACCTGCCCTCGTCGAAAGAGATTTTGAGCACTTATCGATGATATACTGAAGTTCTTTTTTTTTTAATTCGTACTTCCATTAACAACGTGGTACTAAAAAAATGCATTGCTCTTGAAAAAACTGAAGGTCCCTTCGATATCTCACAAAAAACTAAGATGTATAAAAAAAGTCAAATTGGATCCATCTGATTAAAACGTTTTTTCTTCATACAACCAGCAGGTAACGAGTTCTGTTTCGATAGTAATTCTTATTGACTCACCCTGCATTTGCCTTTGTTTCTTTCAATACAATAAGAACTTATAAAACTCTACTCCCTTTCGACTTATTGCAATAAGTGTCACTGATCAAAGGTAAGAAAATCGGTTTATTACGTATAACAACTTCGACAATATCAATCATTACGCGCAACTGTGATAGATGTTTCCTCGAATCAATTTGTTTGTCATGTGATGTAGACAAAAATTAGAAAAAGAAGTTTAACAAATGTACACGAACGTGTGCACGCTTTGGTTCGCAGAGTAATGGAGGGCAACGACACGGCGAACGGAATCCAGCTTTCGTCCACGACGAAAAAGACAAAGGGACGATCGACGTGAGACAACCAGCCACGTCGAACATCCCGCGACACTCGATGGTATCGGAGGACACCGAAGTGACCAGCGACTGGAACAACAGCATCGAGTTTCTGATGTCTTGTATCGCGATGTCTATCGGGTTCGGCAACATCTGGCGGTTTCCGTTCACCGCGTACGAAAACGGCGGCGGTGTTTTCCTGATACCGTACGTGATCGTTCTGTTTCTCGTCGGGAAACCGTTCTATTACTTGGAAATGATAATGGGACAATTCTCCACGTCCTCCTCGATCAGAGTTTGGAACGTGTCGCCTGCTTTCGTCGGTAATTATCAACATTGATGCCTGTTAATCAGAAGTGGGCGTTCGTTCTCCGTATGTCTGTCCACACTCCAGATACCACATGACGCCTTGAAAACGGCTTAAAGGCGTCTTAGACTTGAAATGATCCATTTTACGGCTATTTTACGTCTAAGACTTATTTAAACCGTCTTGAAGGCGTCAAGTGCTATCTGGGCATATTCTTTCACGATAAACACGATGTCGATTACTTTTAGGTGTTGGTTGGGCACAATTCTGTTCCAACGTTGCCCTAATGACTTACTACAGCTCTCTGATGTCGCTGACATTGTACTTTTTGATCGCGTCCTTCTCTGCCGAGCTGCCTTGGTCGAAATGCAGGGAGGAATGGGGTAAATACTGCGTGGACTCGGGCAAAAAATTGAACGTCACGGGCAACGGTACCATCTTCGACGAAAGGACAGGGGAAACCAACGTGTTTCGCTTGTTGTTGACCGACGAACAGTACAGAAGCTCGGCCGAGTACTATTTCACGTGAGCTACCGTTCATTTGATCGTTTTCAACATATATATTCGTCGCTCGAGTTCTTTACAGTTCGAACTCGATTTTGTATACTACTCTTTTACAACAAAAATTCAGTTAATCAATCTACGTGCGTTTCATTGGGCCAAAGATTACAAATTCACCGTAATACAGACTTGTTTCGATTATTGTCCCGAACTCGGGTATCGGTTTATTTCCAGAGACACTTTCTGTATACTCATTCGTGTGTGTCGTTTTGCCATTGTCATAACTAGACTGCGGATTTTATGTATCTATGGAATATTCACTCATCCAAAATTCAAAATAATAAATAGTTTTAAAAAGGATATTCAGGTTTTATTTTTACATTCAAGCTACTAGACTCTTTAACCGGTCAAACAAAATTATCTTTCCGTCCAGTTTCGAGAAATTAATCCATAAAATTCTATATTTGCATAAACATCCGCAGTCTAGTCATAAAGTAAAACGGTCTTATTTCAGAAAAGTCGTTCTTCAGGAGAAAGACAGTATCGACGACGGGATCGGTATGCCAGATTGGAAACTGACTCTTTGCCTGCTCGGCAGTTGGCTGTCCGTGATCCTGATTACATTCCAAGGTGTGAAGAGTTCGGGGAAAGCTTCCTATTTCCTGGCGATCTTCCCTTATATTATTCTGATCAGCCTTCTGGTCAGGGCAGCAACGCTGGACGGTGCTGGGAACGGGATCTTGTATTTCGTCACGCCGAAATGGTCAAAGCTGTTCGATCCGACTGTTTGGTACGCGGCCGTGACTCAATGCTTCTTCTCGCTGTCCGTCTGTTTCGGAACTATCGTCAACTATTCGTCGCACAACGATTTCAAACATAACATTTACAGGTGATACATTCTATATAATACGTAGACTTATAAAAATAGACCAGCCAATTATTATAATAGTGTCAAACGTAAACAGTTGTTCGCAACATTATAGAAAGAGAAAGAGTGCAATAGCGATCGGATCTTTGGTAAATATTTACAACAAGGAAGCCACCTACGATTTCTAGGATTTTTTTAACATTAGAACTACCAGTGTTGAATTTAAATTAGTAAATTAAATTGTATATTATGGTAATATACAAAATACACAGCATAATTTAACATAATACAGTACAATGTAAAAGGTATAGTAAATTAAACGTCAACTTCTGTCGTAACTTGTATCGTACATTTTGAACGTGTTCTTCCCGTTCCAGGGATGCGATGATCGTGACCAGTCTCGATACGGTGACGAGTCTGATTGCAGGTTGCACGATATTCGGGATTCTGGGGAATCTCGCCCACGAAATGGGCGTCTCGGACATCGACAAAGTGGTCAAGTCCGGCGCTGGCCTGGCGTTCGTTTCCTATCCGGATGCGATCGCGAAATTCAATGTTGTGCCGCAGGTAGCGAGAACATTCGAACTTTTCACGCGCGTTCGTTCATTCAACAATTGTTTTTGTAACATTTTATAACGTCATATTTTCTTTGACTGTTTCACAGCTCTTTGCGATTCTATTTTTCGTGATGATGTTCGTCCTGGGTGTCGGTAGTATCGTGGGAATGGTCTCGAGCGTTGTCACTGCATTGAAAGAGAAGCTACCGAACGCGAAGATCTGGCAGATCGTGCTTCCAGTGTGTCTAATGGGATTTGCTGTCAGCACGGTTTACGTAACTCCGGTATGTAAATTGCGAGAGACGTGTGTTATTTGTCTAATTGTTGATTCAGATTAAAAACTGATAAGAAAACTAAGACGATACATTGTTTTCATTAGCTATTTTGAAAAAAAAAAAAGGAAAAAAACATTCCCAGTCAATCAAACCTGCAAAGCCAATTTTTGTCCAATGTCTGTTATAAAATTACGACTACAAGTTTGATGCAAGATTTGCTATAAGTATAGGCTGCAAATTAGCTTGCGCAAATCTTGTTCCGGTATTGCCCTCAATTTAACATAGCAAGACTTTCTGCCAATTTGCTTTACCATTGTGTCAGCTGGCGTTGCCTGAAAAACCCAAGTCAAATGCGGAAGCAGATGGCTATGGTTTTTTAGGCAACTTTTGTCATTTGTAAAATGATGACGATGAAAATAAACGGACAATTCAACATTTTACGTATCGGTGTGTTTATATGTTTCGTAGGGGTCCTCCAGGAAAGATTACATATTCCGACGATTCTGCCCGATAACGTTACAGATTCGTTATCGATTTGTCCGAAAAGTAGCGCGATACCGAGTTAATCGATTTTGTTGATTTCCTGTTAAGTTAATTTAATTGCGATAACGAGAAGAACGAAAGCTGACGTTAATTTTTATCGCCGTTACATAAGCCATCGATGGCAATTTCAAGTGGTCCAATTTGTTTACGATAATCCAGAAAACTCTCTCTCACTCTCCCTCTCTCTCTCTCTCTGTTCTCGCAGGGTGGCCAATTTTTGTTGACATTGGTCGATTATTACGGTACATCGTTCGTAGTGTTCATCCTGGCGTCCTTTGAGATCACTGCGGTCACGTGGTTATACGGTTCGTATTTGAAACAAATATATTAAACAATCGTTTACAATTATTCGAATCGGAATATTTTCACAAAATAGGTATAGAGAACTTTATAGACGATCTCGAGTTCATGCTCGGCAGAGGAACGAGCAGCTATTGGAGAATCTGTTGGTTCCTGGTGACACCTTTAATTCTGATAGTAATCTTCATTTATACTGTCGTCACCCTGTCACCATTGACTTACGGCGGAAAAGGATTTCCGGTCTCCGCTCACGTAGCCGGCGCGGTTATTTTGTGCTTCAGTGTTTTCCAAATACCATTCTGGATGATGGTGCAAATGATGAAAAACAGACGACTGCCGTTCAAACAGGTACCGTTCCGTCGACTTCCGGCTTAAAGACGTCTTAAAATGGCCGTAAAATGGGCGTCTTCAAGGCGTCAAATGCTTTAAGTCACCATCTGCCTTCGTCTGACATTCATTCCTTTTCATTTTCTCTGCTTACCTGTTTCCCAGGCAACGAAAACTTCGTTTATCTTCTTACACGATGTTAAAAAAAGATGGGTCGGTGACTGTGCAGTAACTGTTTCTTTCTAATTTTCGACACTATTGTCTAGATAGTATACGTTTATGCTACCAGTGTGCCTAATCGATTGTTGCTTTTCCTACTATACAGAACCTGAAAGCATCATTTATGCCGACGTCAGAATGGGGACCAAGGGGTACCAAGTCTAAGAAAGCCTGGATCCTTTACAAGGAAGAAAAAGAAAAGGCGAGAAGTCTCAGAAGCCAGCCCAAGTGGCTTCAATTGACGTGTATATTGTTCCGTGTAAAACCAAAATAAAAGGGTATACGGTTTAGTGAACGACTTTCAAAGAAGAGTATATATTGGTTCATTAAGTGTGAAACTTGACAAATAACACATCTTCATTATACCGATTTAAGCCAAATGAGCCAATATGGTCGGTATGAAGACACTGAATATCGATGCTAATCGATAAAATGAATAAAAATATAACATAACCTAACACTGAAATTTGATGTTAGACGAAAAATAATAAATGTGAAAGTTTGCGTTTTGATCTTTGTCAAGTTTCATACTCGAACGATCCAATATCTTCTCCTCAAAAGAGGAGGGGAAAGAAGTGCTGGTTCGCCACGATCGATATGTGTGATTCAGACACGCCTAATGGACTATTAATCCCGTTTTAAACGGCTGATGGTCGATAAGAATGACAATCGCAAGACTTACATCTAGATTCCTGCCAAAGCTCGACTGTTTAATATTATCTATTTATTTACAATCCTACCTACTTCGTTGATCGAAATGAAAACCGAGTCCCCGAAGGATTTCCGTATACTATGATCGTGATTTTAATCACCGATCAATGTCCTCACAATTCTCGATCTTTTCTTGCTTAAATTCATCCGTAATATTCTCTTTGCGTCCTTGAACTCTCTCCATTCTTTGTATTTTATCGGATCCTTGGGACCCCAATCGGAGTTCGGTTGAAGGATCTACAAAATAAGCGAGTGAACACGATAAACAGGAATATGTCGAATAGTTTTTTTTTCTTTTTCATTATTGCTTACGTCCGAAGCGGTTTTGCCCTTGTTCTGAAGCTTGTTAATGATCATCCATACGGGTAGCTGGATCACTCCTAATACCAGGAGTATCCATCCAGCCGCTAAAATTGTACAAGGATCTTTACAGGATAGACTTAGAGAACATATAAGGTAAACCAACAAGTGAATGACCGAATTGTTGAATTTATGGACGTTTGATTCAACAACATAACAGCTGTTGAAATTGTAATTACATTTATTTTTCCTAAAATTTGTATAAAAATAATTACCAATTGTTACCGTAATTTAAAAAAAAATTATTTATAAAGTGCAAAACGTGTACAAGCCCAGTAAATGACAGCTACATTTCTGATATATTTTTAATAAGAATTGTACCCGTTAAGAATATTTGCTTAATTCGGTAAACTAGAAATATGGGATATTAAAAGTGCAACTACACTCCATTTGTAAATATTTAAAAATTTGTATTGGCCATTCACTGGTATACAGCCAATTACTGGTTGATTTACCCTATTATGTGTTCTTTTTTAACTTCCTACCGTAAGCCGATGTCGGATAATATTCGTCGTTGTACACAAGGGGCGTCAACTCGGACAGAAAGTAAACTAAAATCGTGAAAAGCGCTAAAGGTGTGGCGAAACCCCAGCAGAGTCTCCAATAAAAGGACGGTCGATGTCCAGTCATAAATTCCACGTCGTCCAAAAAGTTATCGAGTCCTGCGTGGCCAGAATAACGAATATATATATATATATGTATCCAAATAGCACACGACGTCTTGAAGACGACTTAAAGGCGCCTTATCCTGTATATAGACGATCGCGATGAAATTATTTGATATATAAAATTCTGGATAATTTACCGTACACCCAAGAAATCGCAATCAGTTCGAAGGAGGCGAGAAACACGACGATAAAGGTTCCACCGAAATAGTCCACCAGATTCAAGATGTATTGTCCTCCCTGCACAAGTCTCGTAATTTATCATTCGGACACGATTACACTGTTCAACGAATTTTCATTTTTTTTCCTACCTTATAATCGTTAATAAGCGTTTCTGATAGATCATTACGAACCGAATACGAATCTGCAAACCGTTTTCTCCTATCACGATCAGTTTCTGAGAAGATCAATTTTCTTTGAAAATTGCGAATTTTCACCTTTGGAGGTGTCCTGTGCTTTTACAATAAAAGGTTATTCAGTTTGGTTCTCACTTTCAACATACATATGTATCAGTCTAATAATTTTTAAATAACAATTTAGGGGTGTCAGGGATGAAAGAGTTCAAATTGATTTTTTCAAAAATTGGACATGCTGGAAAAAAACGGTTTGCAGATTCGTATTCAGTTCATAAAGATCTATATCAGAAACAGCTATAGCAGGGGAAAAAGAAAAATAGTAACATGCAACTCTCACCCTCGTGCAATAAACAATTCCGATCAAAAAGCCAGTGCTCGTGACACCAGCGGCAACCTTCCAGTATTGTATTCGAGGGAATTTATCCTTGACGATGCTGCTGATCACACTGGTAAAAGCGACCGTGGTCCCGATACCCAATACGAACAACATCAGGAAGAAAAGTACGGCGAACAATTGCGGTACGACGGTGAATTTCGCGAGCGCTTCCGGATAGGAAATGAAAGCAAGTCCGGTACCAGCCCGTACCACGGTGCTTATATCCCCTTTGCCCGATTCGTGGGCAAGATTGCCAAGTATACCGAAGATCGTTGTTCCTGCTATGAGACTCGTGCATAGATCCATGGTTGTCACCAGCGTGCAATCTCTGAGAAGTGCGTGTAAATATTTACAATAAGGTAGCCAGCTTCGATTTCGATGATTTTTCAATATCTGGACTGCAGAGTGTATTAAGTCATGCTTTTTAAATTTTAGTGGAGGGTAAATTAAAGATGCAAAAACCTTGTAACTTTGGAACCGTTCCGTGAGAACTGAAGGAGAAACAATCGGTATCTTGGAACTATTGAATGGAGTTAAAAGAAGCCTGGATGTGTAGAAATGGTGAACATTGCATTAAGTTCCCTATATGATGGTATTTACACTGTTCGGCTCGAAAGAAGATCGATCTAAGTTAGTTTCGAATATAATAGTGTAAATACCATCACATAGGGGACTTAATGCAATGTTCACCATTTCTACGTATCTAGACTTATTTTGAGTCCATTCAATAGTTCCAAGATACCGATTGTTTCTCGTTCAATTCTCACCGAACGGTTCCAAAGTTACAAGGTTTTTGCATCTTCAAAATACTCTCCACTAAAATTTTAAAAGCGTGACTTACTACACCCTGGAGTCCAGATATTAAAAAATCATCAAAATCGAAGGTGATTCCCTTACCCAGATAATAGATGACACTTTGAAGACGGCTTAAAACCGCCTTAGACCTAAAATAGTCGTAAAAAAGGCGTCTTCAAGGTGTCATGTGCTATCGGGGTTGTAAATATTTATCAAAGTGTAAAACTATCTAATGAAAAAATTCCGATTTACCTCAGTACATTGTGATCGAAACGATTGTAAGACGAGTACATGGTGACAGCGCCGAAGCAAACGCCAAGGGAGAAGAACGATTGCGTGACAGCGGCGTACCAAACCCGAGGATCCATGATTTTCTCCCAGGCGGGCATGAATAAGAATATTATACCGTTCATAGCCCCGTCCAGCGTGACCGCTCTGACCAAAAGCGTGATCATGATCACGTACGGGAACAAAGCAAGAAAATACGCAGCTTTGCCGCTGCTTTTCACGCCATTCCGAAGCACTACGAAAACGCAGGCCCAGCTGAATAAAAGTGCGAGAACCAACTTCCAAGATGGTTCACCGAGGCCTTCCTGAATCCCAACTTCGTTCAGAACTACTTTCCTGTGGAGAAGAAACGAGAACAATTCTTTTGGTAATTACAATTCAGAATAAGCGAGCCACCTTCGATCTCAATGACCTTGAAATATGCAGTCAAGGTCATAATTCTGAACAATTTTTTCCTATACATGTATGTATGTAATAGACGGTCTTGTTCAGTTTTCAGGGTCTAGGGGGTATGTGTTCCATTTCGTCATTGATTAAATGTTGTCTAATTTTATTTAAAATAAATTTCAATTTTTGAAGATTTATGTATTTTGTTGTGCTGTATTAGAAACATCCCCCCTCCCCTCCTCGCTTTTCAACCAAGGGGGTTCCCAAAAATCCCTGATAGCCCTGGGCCACAAAAATCTTAATTCGGGCCTGGTTTAATACTATATGATTCTTCGACAGCATTTAGGTTAAATTGAATTTTTGCTAAGGAAAAACTTGTTCAAAATCACTTCACGAGTGACCCATTTCAGGGACCATTCGAGTGACCGATTTCAGTTGTCGATAAATATCGTTTTAAGTGTGTGTGTGTGTCAGACCTACCGGAAATACAAATCAGCGGAACTACTTTTATTGATGTTCAGCGTCTCGTTGCTGGCCGACGTGCTGTCGAAACAAACGTCGCCCCATTCCTCCCAGCAAAATGCCCACGGTAGAACTGATTGGAAGCTGGCCAACAGGTAGTACAACGTCAACGCCATTAACGAGCAATAGTAAGTGACCACCGCAAAAACCGACACAGCTGTACCGTAACCGATTCCTATCACAGCAAACACATTCGATGGAAACATCTCTCTTTCATTTTGATTATTCTTAACCCTGGAATCTTAACCCCCACGAGGTATTAGCCATCGTTGGTTTGTTTATTTTATTAAAATGTTAGCAGCAAAAAAAATTCGCAATATATACCAGTTACTCTAAACAACTCCGATCGCTATAATGCTTCAGAGTTGGTTAGAGACAGTTCAAGAAAAAAAATCAGTCAAAGTATTTAGAGATAGTTCAAGAAAAAAAAGTATTCAGATTTGATTGGAGACAGTTCAAGAAAAAGGTACCATCGTTCTCTTAATAACTGTTCAATAAACAACATTCGATAAGTGGAACTTTCTGCGGGTCAGTCAAAAGAGGATGACCTCGATGAACACCTGTCAAGCATTCCTTTTATTTACCAGAATGTATAAGAAATAAAATCCAGGAAGTGTTTTTCTATCCTGTCTTCTTTGCATCCTTTAAAAAAAAATTCCTAAATGTCACCTTTCTTAGGCCCGCCAAAAGGGGAAAGGGGCCTTAAACGATTGACCGTGTGTTGCGAAAGAGCGTGGCGGATGGATACCTTTAAAACCAGGCGACACAGACCAAACCTCCACGCAAGACCTGCTGCTGAATTGTCCAAGGATCATCTCCATATAATAAACAGGCTTGCCGATGATAAAGAGCACGATAATGTAAGGGATGAGGAACGCACCGCCTCCGTTTTCGTACGCCGTGCTTGGAAACCTCCAAACGTTCCCCAATCCGACCGAGAACGCCACGCAGGACATCAGAAACTCCGTCTTGCTGCCCCATTGGGGACGCTCCTGTTGATCTGTATTTGTCGCCGACACTGTCTACAATAATCGTTCGAATCGCAAGAAAATATATTAATTTATTCCCTTTTTATTTAAGGACATAAGAAGACTAGAAATGGCAAGGAGGAGGAGAGCGAAAAGTGGGCGAAGAACAACACTACAATTCTCGAGCAATGGAGCACAGTACATGTTAGGGAATGTGATAAAAAGTATTTATAAAATGGCGGCTGTTTGTACTTAAACTTGTAGCTTTCGACATGAATTTCCTACTTCTTTTGTTACTAAAAAGTAAAAAAATGCGCGAATCAAACATTTGATTTGTCAAGTACTAGATTCTAGTCTTAAGAATGTTACCACAAAGTTTGATCCAAATTGGTTCAATTGTCTTTTAAATATTTCCGGTACCGATTTTGAAAACTGCATTTCGAGTAAAACGCTTTCGAATGGCAGCCACTTTTTTCTAGTGATAAACATATAGCTGAATTTTTCCGAAATTACTAAGGAAATAACATATAATACGATGTATATATATTGAAATTTTACTAAAGAATAACTCTGCATGCACAAAAAATTGTTTAATTTTTCCTCTTATTTAACAGCTCAAAGTTTGAGAGAGACAAAGTAACGAAGAAAGGAGAGGGCACAACTCACTCTGTCCTCCATCTGTTTTTCATTCCTTGATATAACGGACAGCCTATAAGAGCCCGGTACGCCGTCGTCGCACGTGAAATTCTTCTGGAAACAAAAACGCACCATTTGTCTATCCTCTGTTGATTATTTATCGCGTAGCTTGATCATCATTCACTTATTATCCAACACGTTTCGCAGCGATGCAATTGTACAATTATCTTTACGTAAGGACACAGCGGTAGGCACCGAGAAAAAAAAATGTACTCTCCTCGATTTTTCAAAGCAAATTAAAGTGTGTAATTACACGTGATAGGTGTGTGCTTGGGAACACAATGTGCCCATTTATGATTTCATCGATGCACCGACGAATATGGAAAACGGAATACCAGGAAGCACATACGAATATACTGAAACCTGGGAAAGTCAAGGAGACGATTCGCGTAATTTTTTACTCCACTCAATACACCTTCGAAACGTGAAACACACCGTTCTTATATATTTTGATAAGTTCGTCGTTAATTTCCGTCCGAAAGGTTTCGAAATAGGCCAACATTGTTATTAAGATAACCGAAATAAGGCTTTGTTATCCGTTTACACCGGCAATTTAGATTAGCTCGTGGAAACGAGCGGTCGACGGTCATATTAAAATTATTGGTTACACTTTCCAGCAGGTACATGTCTCGAATGTTAATGTTAACACGTTATCTGCGACAGAGAAGAAAGCTTACGGAAATACAATAAAACTATCGTAAGAATGTCCTTGTACGCGTCGAGATCCACATCTACTCGTTGATCATAGTTTCTTAGAACTTTTACGGTAAAAAAAGCATCTTTTGAATAAATAGAAGAACATATGCTTTGTAGTATGTATTAAATATCATTGTTTTCTTGGAAAATGTACTAGTTCATTTATCGTAATTGTATAGTGGCAAGTAGACCGATGATACGAACCTTCTGGTAATTATTCATAGTCACTCGGAGCACACACGTTCGCGCTTCTGATCCAGTGATCTACAACGCGATCTTTGCGAGGCAACAGCCATTGGAAGACTGATCGCTGACGATTTTATTCGCCCATGTCAACATAGTGTGAGTCGTGGGAGATCTATCTCAACAAGTGATCCGTTAAAATTCCATTTTTTTTTTCCATAAACAAAATTCGTCCATTTATCGAAGGTTTTCTACGCCGATACATCTTCTCGAAACGTTTTCCTTCGTCTGAAACAAAATTCCTTCATATTCATCTGCAGCTTGAGAAATTATGTAAAAAAATTCGACCGTAAGTTCGGTAAATTTTTTATACAAACACACTGTAGTCACCGACATTGTAAACGATGCTTATTAGCTCAATGACTTAGCATGGCTTAAGCTTTATACATATATACACGTTTTCACTAGTGTGACTGTTTATTATATGTTATTAGAAAAATTCCAAACGATGATCCATTCAGTGTTTTATAAATTACAGTATATTTTTGTAACACGAGAACGCGACGAATGATCCGCGCGTCTGGTAAGACGATACAAATCTATGCACGGTCAACCGCGTTGCTTTTATTGCAAAATTCCACGAACAACTATTTTCTTGGATCATCGGTTTCTTTCATCCGAGAAGAATGCGTTCACCCGTTTTCCTTGCGAACGTGTTCCTCTTTTTCAAGTTAATCTTTAAGGTGGGGAACGATCTCGATCATAACCGGTGTCGCCAATTAAGGGGTTAAATACCTCTGAGGCTTAAGATGTATATGTTGACTGTTTAATAAACAATAATTCTGCACGTGCAAAAAATTGTTTAATTTTCCCTCTTATTCAACAGCTCAAAGGTATGTAACCCCTTAACGCGCGTCGAGTAGGAGAACAAGAAGGACTGAACGAGAGAGGTTCCTCGAGAATTCGATAAATTATATAGCATACAGGTGTGTTTAATCTGTACAAAATGTTCATTTCTTTAGTTTCACTTTAAAAACGTCTCCACGAAGCCACCACGATAATTGAAATTCTTTTCGGCCACGAATTCTTTCCATTCCAACCGAATCTTCGGATCTCTAGGGCCCCACTTCTCCTCGGACGGACGGAACGCCGCTTTGATAGTCTAAAAAGAAAATAAAATAAAAGGAATCGATGTACGATCAAGATGAAAAACTATTTCGTCTATTCTCACTCGACCACCTCACCTCGATCACCGACGACGATTTGCTCTGTTGCAATTTTTGCAACGCGAATCCCACGATCGGTAGCATCCCCAGGCACAGCAAGGTCCATCCGATACCTATATGTACACAAACGGTTCGTACTCGAGAGAAATCCAAAAGTTTACAGAAAATCGGAGATACCGACCCAATTGTAAACTATTATTAAACTTTTTTTTATTACGTGCAAAAATCATTTTAAATCAATATTTGATCATTCCCTCCTTTGCCGTTATGACAGCACGAACGCACTCTTCGAGGCATACTCTGTACGCACTTGAAGCCCATTTCTTTTAAATATTCATTATGATTTCAATAGTAGATAATTTTTTCTATTCAAACCCTCTTATAGACTCCTCTCGATTATCGAGGGGCAACAAAGTATGGCATCGGGTCAGATTGACCCGAACAGTGCACGAGGGTTAACGTAGAGAAGTGGTCACATTAATATGGCCAGGGATTATGCGTTTCACCAACCGTAAGCGTATCCAGGAAACTGTGCACCATCGTACGTGGGTGGTTCGTAAGTGAAAATCGTATAAACCAGAATAACGATCATCAATATCGGGGTGACGAAAGCCCAGCAGAATCTCCAATACCACGATGGTCGATTCCCAAGCATAAATTCTACGTCGTTGATGAAATTCGACAGGCCGTAGATCCAGAAGATGGTGATCATTTCCAAAACACCGACGATTATCGCGACAAACGTGCCGCCGAAGTAATCAACCAGCGCAACGAACCATTGGCCACCCTTGAATATTAAAAAAAAAAAAAAGAAAAAATGTCACAGTCCCCCTCGCCCTGTATACCTTCGCGTCTGTTCAAATCATGTTGGATTTTTACTAAACAATAATTCTGCATATACGAAAAAATTTGTTCATTTTCCCTTTGATTTAACAGCTCAAAAGTGTGTATCCCCTTAAAGGATATTTTCCACAGAAAAATCATCGAAAACTTGCCGAAAGAATTCTTTTTGATACTCACAGGAGTGATGTAGACGAGACTAACAACGAAACCAACAGTGGAGACCAAGAGAACCAGCTTCCAGTGCGCCACTTTCGGGAAATGGTCGCAGAGGATGCTGAAAACGGCACTGGCTAAGGCCACCGCGCTACCGATACCGAGCACGTACATCATCACGAAGAACAGAACCGCAAAAAGCTGCGGGACCACCTTGAATCGGGACAAAGCTTCCGGGTAAGAAATGAACGCAAGTCCCGTGCCGCCTCGGACCACTGCCGAAATATCAGTGGTGCCCATTTCGTGTGCCAGATTCCCAAGGATACCAAAAATCGTGCAACCGGCCATCAAGCTGGTGAACGTGTCCAGAGTGGTCACTATCATCACGTCCCTGAATCGTGAAACAGCCATCGTTCAGTCTCCTTCCAATAGTTTTCAGTGATATAAAGGGTGTAACAAATATGTTGCAGGTCGCTAAAATGGGTAACTCGTGAGGCGATTTGAAACAAGTTTTTCCTTAGCAAAAATTTTATCCGAGGCTTTGTTACACCCTTTATAAGAGTGGTTGACTATGATAAATGTGATCCAACCTTACATTATTCTACTGCTGAAGGATTAACACCAAAATTTGGCACAATCTTGAAGCTCTCTTTGCAGTAGAATAATCTCAGTTGGATCACATTTTTCAATCTATACAATAAATCCTCGATAAGCGTTCGAAGGTTCCTCGGCACTGAATATTCCATATTTCATGAACTAATGGTTATATGCGATTGAATCAAATATCATTGGCTTCAGAATTCCAAGCACTGTACTAAATCCCATTAAAAAGTCAGCGTTACACATGGGGACACCTCTTCTTGTCACTGTCGAGAGGAGTCTTCAAACACTCATCAAGGATTCACTGTAAATTTCTTCGTATCGACGAATCCTCACCTGCTGACCCTGTGCCCGAAATTATTATAAGACGAGTACGTGAGAATCGGACCGAAACAGACCGACAGAGAGAAGAAACATTGAGTGATGGCCGCATACCAGACATTCGGATGCCAAAGTTTCTCCCAATCTGGAGTGACCAGAAAAAGGATACCGTCCACGGCACCCTCTAACGTCACCGCTCTGATCAACAAAGCGATCATCACAACGTAAGGGAATATAGCCAGAAAATATGCCGCCTTCCCTGTACTCTTTATGCCTCTGAACAGCACGAAGAATATGGTCACCCAGCTCAGAAACAGACAGATAGTCAGCTGCCATGAAGGAGCGCCAATGCCATTTTCGATCGAGTCGTACTCGTTCAGAACTATTCGCCTGCAAAAAACATTTTGTTCTCTAATCGAACTTCCAAAAAAGACCCACACCCGATGACCCTGACCTTGACACATTACATCAAGATCACCCTCCCGAGTCAACCCAACCTGCAAAGATCCCAAATTTTGTCCAATAATCTGGTATAATATTACGTACACAACATAGCTACAATTTTGATGCAAGATTTGCTGTCAACAACTTGCACGGAAATTGGCAGCAGATTAGCAGCATGTCTTGGAATATAGCCTAGGTTATAAATTGACCAGCCCTGCGAGGGGCGCGGTTATAGGGGTCACAATCTCGATAACCCCTCGCGCTGCCCGCAGGGCAATCGGTGCACCTTTTCAAGGTTTTCCCCCCGTAAAAAAAAGAAGGTTATAAATTGACCAAGGTTAGTTAGCCTGAATTGTGTTGCAAGACTTGCTGCTAATTTGCTGTCAATCTGCTTTACCATTTTGTGAACAGGGTTTTTTTGCTATTTGCGATGTCAAGGTCAGAGTCATCGAGTGTGGGTGTGCTTTGCGTAAGTTTATCCAACTGCTGTCTAGTTAGAAGAAGAGATTAGGGACCAACCTAAAGTACAATTCCGCAGAGCTACGCAGGGTACCGTTATCAGCGAGAATGGCCGAACGGTTGTCGTTGTTCACGTCTTCCCTCGAAACAGCATCGATGCATTGACCTTTCCATTCATCGCGACAAAAGGACCAAGGTAATTCTGCTTGAAAACTAGCCGCCAGGTAGAACAACGTTAGGGCCATTAGAGAGCAGTAATACGAGACGACGCAGAACGCGGCGAATGCCTGGCCGTATCCTAAACCTAAAACGAGGACAATCGCGGTTCAGAATTATCTATTCCATAGGATAAACAAACATTTAGATAAATTATTTTATATATTCCTGGGTTGATCGTCCAAATCATCATGTGCTGCTTGTGTTACCAAAGAAAGATACTTTAAATCTTTAGCATTATGTTTTCTTCTGGTAAATATTATTGCATTATCAGATAATGAAGAAATTAAGTGTTTAAAAAATTACAACAGTAAGTGACCCAATTACGTTAATAATGTCCGTATTATGGAGGGTCGATTATATTTTTATGAATTAAAAACACTGTATTTATACAACAATTGAAATAATTTTCTTTAAGCAAGTTCAGTTTTGCTTTTATTCGGAGGAATTGAAACATTTTCAATTTAAACTATCCTATCGAGTCTTGTATTTTAATGGTGAATCTAACAATTTGGTCGTGGATCTTCAAACAGTCTAAGCGAAAGTGGTAAGAATTTATCCTAAATATTTACCTTTAATAAGACACTCCATGTTAGGTGCAAAAAAACTCTCTCACTAATTTTCAATTATCCCATAAAAAAATTCTTCTTGTGGATTCCAGAAAAATCAAACTATCCAGCGAGCTCAAACTGGGTCACTTATACTACAACGCTAGAACGATTTCGAAAACTAAGTGTTTCAAACTCTTCCATAAAGGTTCCGATTGAAACAGTTACGAAGAACCTTCATTCTGAAATACCGTTACCGAAGAAATCGGATGTGCATCGATTACCTTTCATCGCGGGCGCCATGGACCACGTTTTCGTGCAGGACTTGTTGGTGAACTGGCCAAGAAGACCTTCCAAAAAGTAAAACGGTTTTCCAACGAGTACCAAGATGATGATGTAAGGGATCAAAAATGCCCCGCCGCCGTTCTCGTAGGCGGTGAACGGAAATCTCCATACGTTTCCCAGACCGACGGAAGTCGCGATGCAAGCCATTAAAAATTCTAACCCTCCTCCCCATTCTGCTCTCTGGACGGAGAAAAAAAGGTATGAAAAATTTCCTTTTCAGGGTCTCCTGATTACGAATTTGATAACCAAAGAATTTCGTTAATCAATCTACATAAAGAAAATACATAATATTAAGAAAATGTCAATCTAGAAAACAACAAAGATTTTTTTTAATTTCCAACTCCGAAAATTTTTTTTTCTTTCTTAATAGTTCTATGTCCGAATACTAAGAACAATGAGAATTTTATGTCGATAGTAAGGATAAAATTTTGTTCTGTATTGTAATAAATAGCTATTCCGTAGATGATATATATATATACTGTGTGTATATTGATTATTTCACTACTTTCCTGCTAGAACGAAGATATTACGTACAGACTCATCGTTTTCCGAAAGCACTTTCTCTTGTGGATTCGACTTTTCCGCGCCCTGGACGTTCCTTTCCTTTAATCCAGCCGGAATATTGTCCATCTGGAACGCTTCGTTCGCGTAACCATTTTGTTTCTGTAAATTTTATTTCCGCCGGTTAAGCACAACCCTTTGATTAATATCCCAATTTTCGATGAAATTCTCTCACATAAACTCCTGCCTCCAATTCCGCCATATTGAATCCGAAATGGTATTTCCTTTGAAGTTTCAACGAATGCAACAATCAAATCCAGGGGCTCCTTTATTAATTCATTCACTCGGTTTCGTATACGATCGAGGTATTCATCGATTCGGTCCCAGTAATATTCTATCCACGAAAATGCACACGAGTAACATGAACAAACTCATCGATGAAAATGTTCTTTTATACCCGAAATTCTTCTTCACTGGCACTCCCCAATCTTTCGAATAAACACACTTCCAGGGATTATTAAATGACTCAGGGAATATCCTCTTTTTCAGCGTCCAGGGAATCGATCTTCCACCGATCCTTCGGTGGGAACACTTCGAAGACAGACAGTCTTGAGGTACACGCAGTCGTCAAAGTACACATCTGTCACAGTAATGAAAATCTAATTGATTTAAATTAAATTATATTAAATTAAATTAAATTAAATATCAACAGATCTCTGATGATGGAATATGACGATGGACGTACGTGTGTTCAGGATCATCGAGGGGAAAGCTTCTTTCCCCAGGATCCTCGAAACCGTGGAATACGCGATGGCCGTTTCGCGGAAGAAGTTCTGCCCGATGGAAGTGTTCAACCGGCGTAGCTGCCGCGACGACCGACATCGGCAAAATAAACCGCGCTTTTAACGCGCACGCCGATTAGATAGAGAATCGACGCGTTGCGTTTTTCCTCTCGTTCGTCGAATTTCATCTAGCCTCTATCTACGGGGCTGCAGCCCGAGTCCTCGACTGTCAGGTATATAATGTGGGTGTCAAAAGTATTCGTACGCCCTTTGAAACGAAACAACTTTTTTTAAAATGGTCCAAATGACTTGAGTTATTTTGTGAAGTTAGAGACATTAGGTTACTAAATGATGTGTAAAAAAAGATTGAAAAAGTTGCAATTGGTTGGAATCGCCAAGAAAATAGTAATGGTCGCTTTTTACAACCTTTTAATGAACTATTAAAGATTAAGAAGGCTATAATGAACATTTAATAAATACGTATCGAAGATTTATGTTAGTTATAAACACTTGGTATTGGGAATTACTGAAATTTATGGTAAATTAACGTTCGATTTAACATTCATTTCAATACTTGAAGTAAATTTACCAAGTGGTAGGCGGCCTTTCTCTTGCGCCACTTTTGTCCCATAGCGGAAACCCGAGTTTGCTCGCAAGGGTACAAGATGCAGGAACACGAGGGTATTTACCAGTTATATGTTTCATTTAGTTTTAATATTCGTCCGATTTATATTTTATATAATCATGTTTAGATTTTTTTCTCTTGTATTCCAATGTATTTCTAATTGTAAATAAATAAAACGGTTGATCAGAACAAAGTGTTTCTTCATAAATGCTTCGATCAGAACCTTTTTCGAACAGTTGGAAGCAATTAGTTAGAAACTGAGAATGGATTGGAGGGCGAGGTGGTAATTATGGTTAACGCAGAAGATGCGTGACATTATGCCTGTTTCCTCCTATTGATATGCAATACATCGTGAATTGACACTGCGGATTAACGAGAAACGGTACGAGATGTTTGTCGATTCGTCACGGAGCAACCAGTCGCTACAACGAATTTGCACGTTTCACGTCCTTTTCCCCCACAGTTTTTTTTTTGCGTAAAAATGTCAAAACAGAACGAATTGTACTGCGATAAGATTATTACGATCGTGGGATTCCGAGTCGAAGCGATAGTTTTGAACGTTACTGATCGCTTAAGGTGGATCCCATACATTTTTAATAATCATAAATTTAGTTAAAAATTTAACAGAACATTTTTAAATTCTTGAACTTTTAATTGGTCATCGAAAAATCTCAATATGAAAATAAAAAAAAAATTAAAATAAAAAACCTTTCAGGCAAAAATTGTTTATTTTTTCGCGTGGATTGATGATCTGTTAACAACAATATAGATATCCAGTTAGAAAAACGAAGTTGACCTTCAAATGACCTTCAAAACGTTCACCGGATTAGAAGTAAATAATGTCATTCTCTTTCCCCCTCAAAACCAAACAACCTTTTGTTTACCTTCTTATGAAATCAATCAATTTAAACACCGCACCCTGTATATATCAGTCTCATAATTTATGAAATACTAATTTAAGGGTCTGAGCGTTAAAAGGTTAAAGTATCTTATTAGGTTAAAAATACTGCACAGATCACGTTGGGTCTGATCAAAGTTTCTGGTCTTTTAATGTATATTTCACAGAGCCCGATAAGGAAAGTAAATGCATAAAATCCGCCATCTAATTATAATATGATCTGTCTCTCGGTTACGAAGACCGTTAAGTAAGCATGGAATTCGAAAGTACGACAGGAATGGGCGATTACAAAACGTGTGTCGCGTGTACATTGCTATTTCACAAATATGCGAATTATACAGGGGATCGAGAAAATCCGTTCCGTAAGACTGGATGTGAAAAGTATCAGCTCGTATACATGTAAGTGTTGGGGTCCAGTGACGTTCAAGGCCCTCTGATTAGCCAGACTAGGCTGTACATACTATAAAACTGTTTCTGAGGACACCGTGATACGGAGGAAATTGAGGAAAACTACGTCTTCTATCGCAACTTTCTTACGTCACACAAACACATAGCAAATACCCATTGTTCCTGATTAAGAGGATTACCGAGAACTGTAGGATAAATTGTAGGATAAATGAATTTTTATAATAAATTGTAGGGTAACCAGTGAATGAACACTTGAGAAATTTGTAACTATTAAAGTCGAATTTTAAATGATAATAATATTAATAAATTTGTTGGCGCATAAATATTAAATTTTTTAATATCTATACCTTTTTCATAATGTATAGATTTCATTTAGAGAAATTGGACAAATGTAATTAATTAAATTCTGAAGAAAATACAGATTTCATCAGTGAATGAACAATATTAAGTATAGTTTTTTTTTATGTATGTCCAGCGATTACTTTGCAATGAATTCACCAATCGAGATGACAAAATAAAATTGTATCCATCTGATGCATCCCTTAACATGCGACATAATTCATTAAAACGTTTTTTGATAAACCAATAGATAACAAGTTATTTTAGGTAGTAGTTCTTATTCACTCACCCTGTATATTCTGCGTTGTATCTTTAATTTTGCGCCGTTTCCAAAACGGTTGCACCGTATTTAACATGCTCTCCACTAAGAGAAAATCAGTTTCCTTAACCGTTGTCGCATTTCTGTAAAAATAATAAAAATCAAAATTATTTTCTACTTTTCAGTGCATATCTCAACGATATGTAGGTACATATCATGCTACCATATACATTTAAATACATATCATCTCACCCATAGTCATAGAAATAATAGATTAACCCCGATCAACACGAATGCCAGTGATTACATACACGAGAAAATTCACGACACAACGTGTAACAAATGAAAGCCAAGGGGTGAACATGACCGCGAAGCTTCTGTCAAATCAAGGGCATTTGGGTAGACGTGCGGGCAGACAACGTAAGATATTTTCCTCGAAGGATGGCTTAACAAATTCTCTTCATCGTAACAGTCTCGAACAGCTCGGATGATCGATCGTGGTCCCGCCATGATCAATCAGTGGCGATCGATGATGGACAACCTGAGCGACGTTTACTATCTGGTGCAGCTGATTGTTCGCCAAGTATTCGTCTACTTACAGGTAGGATTGCACGATTAACCGTCATACAAACGAACGTAGGATCATTTATCTGTATGGTCGTTGCGCTGGTATTCTTTGAAATTATTTATAAATGTAACATATAAATTTGAATATATATATATAGATAAAATTGTACGCAACACTTCCTTCTTAAAACCCACGTACAATGGAATTCCGCTATGGGGATGAACCCTGCATTCGTCTGCAGCGTCAGTCCCAAACCATTCCGAAGGTTAAGAGGGGAGGCTTGGAGTAAACAGCTAAAACTGAACGAACTTTTGGGAATGTATTGTGAAGAAATTATTGAACAAATCTCTTTGAAACTTTAATGTACAATTAAGCTGAATAAAAAAATTGTTATTCAGTTATATCCTTATCTTATACCTATAATATTTATGGATTTGTCGTGACAATAACAATTTTTCTATTCAATTTAATTGTACACTAAAGTATTCACAAAGTTTCAAAAAGATTGGTTCAATAATTTCTTCACAAGAAATTCCCCAAATATTCATTCGTTTTTAACCTTCTCATCGACGAAGAATACGATCGTGACTGAAAGAACACAAACGCACACATACCGATCGATCGATCTCTTTCAGGACTTGATCCTGTACAAATTCTTCTGGCTGGCGAACGACGATTTCAATTCGACCGGTTCGAAGCTGCGCGGCCTCGCCGCCAAAAACATCACCGCTGACATTCTAGCGTTCTCTATCATATGTACCATTCTGTTTCTTCTCGCGATGCTCGCGTCGAATTGCGAGAAGGAAAGTGGACGGCTTTACGCATCCGCCGGAATCGAAACGTAAGTCCCCTTGTTCAGTGAATAGAATTCGAAATATCGATCCACATAAGTTTGTTTGCACAAATACATGTAGGTTTTTCCCATAATTTTTGTCGTTAAGGCCCTGGTAGAAAGGGCAGAAGAATTTCCTTTATACCATTAGAATAACCTACGACCTTTGAACATCAAATTTGAATTCTCCTGGTGCTCGACTATTCGAATATTCGTATCGATCATCAAGGCCTATTCTAATGGTACAAGGAAAATTTTCTGCCTTCTCTACCAGGACCGTACGACAAAAATTATGGCGAACAATCCACCGTAGTGTAAGTATCACGAACTATTACACGTACAGAGTGTCCGTGGACTTCCAAGAGAATCCATGCTTCGTCACGAGCGCGAGTTCGAGCACCAGCAACTGTTTCCACGCTTGCGGGGACTCGATTCTACCGCTGGGATCGATTCCAAAAAGGAATTTCTCGGACGAGAGTTTCTCCCGCATACGATCCAGCAATCGAGAAAGGATCAGGAGTATCCTCAGACGATCGATTTTCGGCGTGAGCGGCGGCGGCGTTCAGATACACAACTCCCAGAGCACCCAAACGGAGAAGTTGGTCGATAAAATTAATCAGACGTGGTTGATCCGACGGACGAGGAGCGGTCAGATTTATGGAAAATACCCTGGATAACGGATCGCATTCGCTTGTCAAAATCGCGTCGTGTGGTCTGTCGAATCATCCAATCATCCATAAAAATTAGTCCGCGAACTTACAACAGCGATTCAGATTGCTGTTTCATAAATTACGATTGTTTAACATTCCAAACAATTAATCACAGTCTTAACGTTACCGAACAATCGTGGTGGGAGGTAATGAATCATCTCACGTGGTCGCACAGTGGTCTAAAAACAAAATTTAGCTGAAGTAGTTTTCGTAAAAGCCATCCGATTAATTCCGAATTTGTTGATTATCTATATTTATTTATTTCGAACTCGTGTCACAGACGAACGAATGTTCACCGATCCATACAGTATTTATTTTTTTTTTTTCGAGCTGTTTACTCTGTTTCCTTTTTATCGCTTTTTATTTTGATTCAAAACAATATCTACCGATCGCGAATAGAGGTTTACGATTAATGTCCTCGTACGAGGGAAATTCGGATGACTTTTTATCACGATCGTTTTGTGTCACCGTGACGTTTTTATTCGCGATGTTTTAAGACTATCTTGTTAATTTGATACTCGTGCAAATAAAACATATTGTTGCGTGTATTATGTCGTCGATTAATTTTCGCCGGGGTGAAACGGTTTATATCCCCTAATCTTTAAATAAATAACTAAATCCAAAGATCCTCCGAGGAAGTCTTATCTCTGGTAAAAGTCGTAAACTTATTACTCCGTGTCATAAAAACTAGTACGGCTTTATTGCTTCAGACGTTTCATTCTTGCGAAAGATCGGTCATATATGTATTCGGATCAATGACTCGTGGATTATTCTTAATTCAACGGAGTTGCAAAGTATAAGAAGAAATTATTAACAACGAGGCGTAGGCGATTATTGAATTACCAAACCCTAAGGGGACTAACAACGAATCGAAGAAGAATAATTGCTACACGGAACAAATAACATTTTCTTTATTCCGAACGGTCGGATTGAGAAAATCTTCTGTCTCTTTAAGCAATTCGTCGTTACAAATATAACTGTAAATATGCGGATGTTCGAACTATTCGAATATACGAATATTCGTAACAGCCCTAGTTACAAGCTACGATTCACGGAGAAAAACCGCGCGTAGCAGCTGATGTTTGAGCCTGCGCGTTCGTCGACCCGCGACGAAACCATAGAAACAACGAACGGACGGTAAGAAAAACAATCGGGCCGTCACGGTCTCTTCTATAACAGTGAAACTCTGAACGTAAATTAAACGGACAGATAATTCGCGGCATCGCTGGCAAAAACGCCAAATCGTTGTTAGACACGATGGACATAAAAGATAGCAGCGACGAGGATGGAACGCATAACATTTCGGCGTTCACCAAGTTCGACGAGAGCATCGAGGTTCAAAACGCCGAGGAGATCCAGAGCCCGATACGTCGTAGACCTCAAAGTTCAAGGAGACCTAGACAAACGACGACGAAAGACGAGAGCCTCAGCTCTATGGGAATAAATTCGCCCCGTGGGAAGCTAAACTTCAGAAGGTACATACCATATATGTATTTCGTTCCTAGACATATAGTACCCTCACGAGCAGACTCTGCTTCCACTAGGGGAAAAAGTGGCGTAGGGGAAGGATTTGTTACCACTTGGTATCAGGAATTACCCTTCTCTTAGGCCACTTTTTTACATAGTAATATCTATCCAATGTTCACGTGAGACCACCATCGATTACAGATATTCGGAAACTGAGAACAGTTTCGGAAAATCGATGGGGATCAGCAGTGATCCATCGGACAGCGAGGAAAGCGACGACGACGACGACGAGATCCAGGGTACGAGCAACGCGCAACAGATAGAGATGTACAATCCGAAGGATTTCGAGGGCTTAGACGTGTCAGCCGAAGTGACGGAACTGTTCCAAAACATTGTCAGGTTATTAATGATCGCGTAATTGTCCGATTAAATGGTTCGCAAACTGATAACAAAAGAGGTCTCCCCTCTCCTCCAATGTAACAGGTACACACCGCAGAAGATCGAGCTGAATTACAAGCTAATACCGTTTATACCGGACTACATACCGGCGGTCGGTGACATAGATGCGTTCATAAAGATACCGCGACCGGACGGTGTCGAGGAGAAAATCGGACTGACCGTTCTCGACGAGCCGTGTACCGATCAGTCCGATCCAGCTGTGTTGCACCTGCAGCTACGCAGCCATTTAAGAAGCGCCGGCGCGGCGGCCAGGCAAACGGTGGTGAAAAGAATCGAGGACGCGGAGAAGAACAGTCGTTCGATCGACAAATGGATCGAGGACATCAATCAGCTTCACCGAAGCAAACATCCGCCGGTCGTGCATCTAACGAAACCGATGCCCGATATCGATTCTTTGCTGCAACAATGGCCGCCGGAGATCGAGGAGAAGCTGAACGAAATGGAGCTGGACTTCGGCCAGCTGGACTGCGATTTATCGCGTCTCGTCGATATTATCTGTAACCTCCTCGATATACCCGCGGACGAGAATTCCAGATTGGAGGCGTTGCACACGCTTTTCACGCTTTTCTTGGAAGTACGGAACGCCAGGGCGCAAAAGTATTGAGGCCTTACGGCGGGATATTCCGTGGTGAACATTTCAAACTCCGACGACTTTAATGATCCTTTGTAAATATTTAAATGAGCCTCTTCCTCTTGCGGTCACGGTAATTTCTGAAATAGGAAGTGCACGGTTAACAACGAATTCGTTGAGAGAACACAGAGGTACGAGATGCTTGTAAGTCGGTTATTTGATTTATTAGAATGTAATAGAAAACAGTGTTTCTCCACAATTACCGTACCATCTATTTTTGTACATACGATCCAGAATTCAGTCGATGCTCCGTTGATGATGCGCTCTACTGGGATGCAAAGAATTCTTCACTCCTGATCCACACGCGTCGTTAAAAAGTTCCCCGATAATGCAATCGAATCCGAGTCCCGTTAATTAAGACTGTACATTAATGTAATGTGGAAAAAAAAGATGAAGACAAAAAGCAGTATTAAGATTACACCAGTATCAGTTACATAATGTGACGTAAAAATAAAAAGAATAAGGAAAGAAACAGTTGATATTGACTTGTTATTATCGAATATATAGCACGTCCGAGGACTCCCATTAAAGAGGTCATTTGTAATCATTTATTACACACGTAAAAGTGCGTCCCGTGGATCATTCTGAACGATTTTTCGTGATGCCTCTGATCGAATGATCAATGTCTGCAAGCTTTCCGAATGAAGCGCTTGCGCGTTCCCATTATCAATGAATCACAGTCAATCCAACATACTTCCGGAATCGTCGTGTCGATCAACAATTCTGACACTCAACGATGGTTTCTTTTCAGAAATTGCAAGTGAACAAAAAAAATAGTTGACATGGTTTCAGACGAATGTATCGTGCGAACGAGTTTCCGCATCAATTTACAATATCGACTCAACGGGAGCACGGGGATCCGATTAATTAAAGGTATTCAATCGGTACCAAAAATACATCAGTTGAGCACCGGTTTTTCAATTGAACATGAATCATAGTATTAATCACGTGGCTGCCATATCTGTTTTTTGTTCCTTCGTGTATGTGTTCAGTAGGTATACGGTAACACTGGGAAACGACGGAATGAATGTCGCTCTTACACGATAATTTCGACGGCCTTGCCTTTGTGATTCCGTAAAATGTGACCAAAGCAATAGTGCTTGAGAAATGACGGACACCCCGACACACGTTAACGTGAGGATAAACGATGCCATCGAGGACAGCGTTGACAATTTCTTGAATAATGAAGACGACAGCGAACGATTGTTGAAACCGAGAAACAATTTTGCGTCATACTCGAACGATGGCATCAATGTTAGATTCCGGGTATGAATAAACAGGATAGATCCGAATAGCCGTGTGTCCCTTGTAAATTGCTCCATTCTCGTTTTGGCAAGCATAGCATAACCTAAACGAAGCACCAGTTACTGTTCATGCATCCGTCATTATATACGTCTTTTCTTTTTGACTGTAGCCAATGCCAAATCGAAGAATATCTCTTGCTTGTGATATAGAAGAATGCATTGAACGATGCAAAATTATGAAACGTTATGTTTGTATTCAACGTTTTATCTTCTTATTCTCGATAGACTGCTATCTGCAACCATGGCAGCCTGTCATCGCAAAATATTATGGACACAATTTCCAATAACCCGAGAAGGCTTATTACAGAAGAGATCACCCCAGGAGCCACTAATTTCTTATCAACTAATTACGAGGTAACTACTTCTCTTATTGTTTTGTTACGAGAAACAAAAACATTATTTCTGGCTTTCGTTGGTATCATGGTTTGCCTGGTATCTTTTATCTTTCTTTCTGGTAAATTCTGTACATTGAATGCGACAAATGTCATATCTTATCTCAGAAGTACATATTTCTCTTTGGACTTCTTCTACATCTTTCGTTTCTTATTGTTTTTCTTTAGAGTTTAGATTATGATCCTTGTGAGAACCACCTTCTGCAAGATGAAGAAAGAAAAAAGGGATATAAGTTTGTGGTTAAAAAAAATTTTGCCAGATGGTTTATTTTCTTACTGATAGGCATATGCACAGCTCTTATCGCCTCTTTTGTAAATATTTCTATAGAAGAATTATCCAACATAAAATATGGTTATCTTAAGTCCTGTATCCTTTAATATTAATGCGAAAATATAAATAATGAATAGAATATAATATTGATTGTTGGTTCCTTACAAGTGATAACAGATATGGATCAATGCGTATTAAACAGCTGTTTATGGCTGCCATACTTGATATGGTTGACTTTGAATTTAGTACCTATTTTAATAGGGGCTATTTTAGTGTCCTATGTGGAACCTGTTGCTGCAGGTAGTGGCATTCCACAAGTAAAATGTTATTTGAACGGAATTAAAGTGCCTCGTGTTGTTCGTATTAAGACATTAGCAGTAAAGACAATCGGTGTAATCTGTACCGTGGTGGGTGGATTGGCTGGTGGAAAAGTAAGTTCTTTGTGTTATTTGTTACTAAATTAAAAAAAAATCATTTAGAAAAGATTTGAAAATATTTAAGTACTTTAGAGAAGACCATGAAAAACGAGACTTTGTGTCAGGGGGTGCAGCTTCCGGTGTGTCTGCTGCGTTTGGAGCACCAATTGGTAAGCTCTGTAAAAGAAACGATAAATATTTCCAGTCTAATTACTTGAAAATATTTTAGGAGGTGTATTGTTCAGTATTGAGGAAGGGACTAGCTTTTTCAACCAAAGTCTTACATGGAGAACTTTTTTTGCCAGTATGATTACAACATTTACCTTAAATATTGTGCTGAGTACATATCACGGACGACCTGGTGACCTTTCTTATCCAGGCTTACTAAACCTGGGAAAATTCGAAACTATACCGTATCAGATTTACGAAATCCCGCTGTTCATGCTAGTGGGAACAATAGGTGGAATATTGGGCGCAACTTGGAATCACGTAAACTATAAAATTACTTGTTTCCGTCTGAGATTCGTACGAAGAAGATGGCTAAAAGTAGTAGAAGCGCTTTCGATTGGTGTACTGAGCGCAACAATGGGATTTATAATGATTTACTACTTAAACGATTGCAAACCATTAGGTCAAGATCCCACTAAATTTCCTATTAAAATGTACTGTAAGGAAGGTGAATACAACGTAGTCGCAGCTTTATGGTTTCAAACACCTGAAAGTAGTGTACGATCCTTATTCCATGACCCTAAAGGTACGGATGCCAATGCATGTAAGACACAATAGAGCTTGTATTTGATTAGCCTTCTGTTTATAGGTTCTCACAATGACATGACACTAGCTATTTTCGTTGTACTTTACTTCTTCTTGGCTGTTTTCACTTTTGGTCTTTCCATGTCCAGTGGACTTTTTATTCCATCCCTCCTGATTGGCTCTGCATGGGGTAGACTCATTGGATCATGTCTTTCTAAACTTTTCCCCAATTGCGTAAGAAACAATTACCAACATATTTCCTCCGTAAAAGTGTTATGTAAAATACAATTAGACTACTGCTATTCCAGGTTGTTTTAGATCCTGGAAAATATGCTTTATTAGGTGCAGCTGCAATGTTAGGCGGAGTAGTTAGAATGACAATAAGTTTAACTGTGATACTTATAGAGGCTACTCAAGGAATATCGTTCGGTTTACCTGTTATAATAGTTCTTATTATGGCTAAGTGGGTTGGAGATTTTTTCAACGAGGCATGTAAAAATATCTATCTTTGTCTTATACGTTCGGGGACAATTTTTACAAAGATTATTGTAATCTTCTGTTATCCATTATCCAGGGCATCTATGAAATTCATACACAAATGGCTGGAGTTCCTATCCTACCATGGGAAGCTCCACCCTTATCGAATAATATATATGCCAGTGAGATTATGAGCCACCCTGTAGTAACATTGAAAACTGTAGAAAACGTTGGACACATAGTGGAACTTCTTAAATGTGTAACATTCAATGGATTTCCTGTAGTAGATCCTCCTAGTAGCGATCAGGTAATAACTATCGAATGCATTCGATACCGAGAATTATATTGTAATAGTTTTGTAGAACTTACTTCTACATTTTATATTTTAGACTGAAATACATTCCTATGGACGATTTCGAGGTTTGATATTACGTTCTCAGTTGATAGTGTTATTACAAAATAAAATCTTCAACGAATATTCAGAATACTGGGATAAAACCTTGAGCATCAAAATGTTTAGAAAAGAATATCCCAGGTACCCAACGATCGAACAAGTTACCATTACTGATGAGGAGAAAACTTATGCAATAGATCTGAGACCTATCATGAATCCTTCTCCTTACACATTACAACACGTCAGTAACTTGTATCTGTTCTGTTTTGCTATTTAAGAGTTCTAGGCTGTTTACATCAATTTATATTCCTTTCAGTCTGCAACACTGCCACGAACATTCAGACTCTTCCGGGCTTTAGGCCTTCGTCATCTGCCAATATTAAATGATACAAACGAGGTACTAGTAATTGACGCATTTCTTAAAATATTCTAACAAGGAATGTTATATTCTGATATTTTCTTTAGGTAATTGGAATTATTACACGAAAAGATGTTGCCAGATTTAGGATATGGGAACATAGAGGAAGAATGGGATTAGATGAACTTGTACTGACAAATAAAATTTAATTTTAATTTTATCTACAAATATAGACGAAACTTGATATTAATTTACTAAGAAAATCTTTCATGATACATTATATACAAACGCATGAAAGATTTTGAAGCTACACGAGACTCGAACTTCTTTGAAGAAGACCTTAAAAATAAAAGTATTAAAAGAAACAGAGCAAAAAAATCAATTACGGATGAAAGACACCTCGGTATTAATTATTTACAAACAGTTGCCAACCTAGCCAAGACCACAATTTAAAAAAAAGGTATACTGGAAGGAGTACTAATAGTAAAAGAAAATAATATTCATACGATGAAATGTACATGTTAATCTGTTTTTTAGAATTTTTAAAACTGGTATCCTGTATTCCAAATATCTCTAGTAAATTATGCAATAAAACTGTGCAACACCTTTAAGTACAACCTGAAACACGAAACAAATATCTTCTGGTAGAGAAAACTATAATCTATTTATTTATACTTATTTTTTATCTATGTATTTATAAAAAAAAAAAAAGCTAAATTAAAAATTATATCTTAACTAATGTTTAATTAATGTTTCTAAAATAATTTTTTTACACGCTGATAATTACATTCCTATGCAATAATAAGCAATGAGAGTGAAAATTTTATACGCTATAGACACTTGACTTGCTCAAGTCTTCAAAACGAATGACTTCCAAATGTCTTTGAATTTGATGGAAGTGTGCAAAAAGAGAAAGATTTGTTGGTAGATACGATTTCAATTATTAATAAATAACATTACGATTGAATGTTCGCAAAACGGAATTCCCGCGGGAAACGACACCAATAACTATAAAAGCAGAAGATATAAGAAATGCCGCCAATTAATTGCGGCTCCCTATTTTGGGAGTGAATCACCTTGAGACAATAATACATACAGAGAAGAAGGCAGCCATGTCTTTCTAATCTTCGATAAACCAAGACTTTAAAATTTTTTTCGCGAAACTGCATCGGCCAAAGAGTGCATCGTGAAGTCTTACGTGCAAATACGATGATCTTTCTCTTCTCCTTAGTGTTTGTGATAATCGCAAGCATTACCGAAGGTACAGCAATGAACTATATACTCAATTATTAACACGAATGCAAATTGAATATTCTACGTCAAATATTTTCCGTTCAAATGCACATGATTCGAAAGTTTAACGACACTGTCTGCAAAGATCCGCTGTTCTTGTGATTGGCCCCTGAATCAAACGAACTTTACGCATGCGTACATGCCGAAAAAAAGGGAGGCTAATTCGAACGATTTTTTTTAATGATACGTTTTATGAAAAGTGCCTTGCTTACCGTTTCTGATACAAAAACAATTACAGAGACGTTGGTACAAAGACAATTCCAATGCAAAATGAATGATTACAAGTGGAGTAGAAGTGACAATGCTTCAAAAACAAATAGAAATTCTGGTTTTACTAGAGAAAAAAGGAAAAGTACCCGTAAAACTGTAACAAAAAATGGTGAAACGGAAGAACAAGCTATAATTCGTAGATTTCATGATGCACAGAGAATGGCACGGTTTCGAGCCAGAAAGAAAAAGGCTTTGGAAGAAGCAAAGGTGTTTGAAGCATTATCTTTCAAAGAGCTTTCTATAATTACAGAACTAAAACAAAAGAATCTGACACTTGAAACTAGTAAATCCATTGTTGATACACAAAATATTGAGCCACTTCAAAGATGTTTACCTACACAGAAATCATCAATTGTTCTACATACTACTTATGGAGAAAGTAAATACTCTCAATTGTTGGGAATCATCGAAGAACTAGGAAAAGATATCAAATTAATGTATGCTGGCAGTAAAATTTCAGCAGAAAGATTGAAAGTAGGTATAACGCAAGCAAGAATGTTAATCAAAGAATGTTTATTAGACGCAGAAATTAACTCGTGGCAATAGTTTATCTACAAACACGTGCGTTATTTTTAATGAGTAGTCAATTTGAACACTAAACTAATCAATTCTAAATTACCACAGAAAAATATAGACTATCAAAAGTATTATCCCATGGGAATAATTTTAATAATTACAGACCATATATTAACCAAGTTTCCTTGTACCAATGAATAATACAAAGCAAAACAAGATAAATTAAAGAATTTAAGAATAAAACATGAGTACCAAGAATAAAAATACTAACAGTAGATGAAACTCCTCGATATAGTAACAGTAGTATACCATAGAAAGAAAGCAAGTGATAATTTATAATAAGTATCATAAAAATTGTTCAAATTCCTAGAATTAAGTTTTAATAAAAGTAGTAAATTATGTACTTCGCAAATAACTTTGTGTATACACGATATCTTTGAATTACCTAGAAAACATTGATGATCCCTGAACATTTGAGTTTGAAAACATTGCGAAACTTTTAGGTGAAGTGTCATATAAAGTTACTTCAAAAGCCTCTCGCCCGAAAATGTTTTCATAACTCGAAGGTTCTTCGAAAACATGTATCCTCTCCAGCGAGTTTACCGTAAGTAAGTTCGCCTTTTCTTCTGAAAGAATGGAATTAAACCCGTCAAAATTTTCTCGTTCCTTTAATTTCAAGAAACGATTCTTCCGAAGCATTAAGAAATTTTACCATAAATCGAATATTTTCACGGATAAATCATCTTATCGAAGGAAAACAAAATGTGTGATCACCATTAACGAAGACTATAAGGCAGCCGAGCATTCCGAGTGTACTTCGCAGCTCCTTGACAATGTCGTCGTCGTATATTTTAAGACGCGGTCGGTTTGGTCAATTGTTTTGCGGTCTCCCAGGTCGTACACCTGTCCGTCGTGAAGTTGCAGACGGGAGTAGGAAGGGGTTATGGTCAATAAACGCAACCACGTCACACGCAGCCTATCGGCGACCTCGCTTGGCCCCTTAAAGTGGCTCCGAACGAAAATCTTACATGTCGGCCGATATTGCTTTTGTGCGTTTGTCTGCGGGATATCTTGAGAAAAACCGGACTGATTTTTACACGATCGCCATCAACGGACGCGTTTCAGTCCAAGGAGAATACGGATGTAAAATAGAATCGGTCTATGATACGATTTAGCTTCATGGCGGGTTAATCGTGCGTTTCAGTGAACTGACCGAATTGCATCCGCCATTGTTGTGATTGGTGAACGTTCCAGGGAAGACGGCGTTCTTAGATTGCCGCGCATGCGCCTGTCGTACTACTTGACGACGCTCTTCTTTCGAATTTTGGGAGAGACACGACACACACAAAGGAACGCGACACAGGTAGCCGCACGCACACGCACGTACACACTGGACATATACGTATTTCGAAAACAGTGTTCGCTACTTGATTTTTGCGCACGTGCCATGAAATTTTTTTGAGTTCGTTGCCCGCGTCTTTTCAGACATCGAAAATTGAATCTATTCTCATGGTTTCTTTTACTTACCGTAGCGAAGAAAGTAATCACCGGAGGTTCTCGAAGAAAATAATCAGGTTGACAGCTCTTTTTTCCTGCAAATCAAAGAAAATTTCTCTGTCATCGCTGTCAATGATCTTATTTGATAAAAAAAAGAACATTTTTTTGTCGACAATTAAATAGCAATTAAATTTCGAAAATTTTGCTTCTATATGCTACATTTTAAAACATATAAATGAACTTATATAAAATCTAGAAAATTAAAAAAAAATGTTGCAATTAATATTGTTTTGCATTACAGGTAACACACTGCAAAAAATAACAATGTAAGCATTACTAAGTACACAAAAGTATACGTTTGAACAGTAGTAAATATCTAAGAAAAAAAGACAAAATTAACTGCATATATGTAAAACGTATGCATAAAATATATTTTGTGAAAAGTTTGATACTTGAAACTTGTAAAAATGACAGTCTATATAGGTGATTGTACCTATGCTGTGCATAAGTGTATGTTATGCCTAAGGTTAAGAAAAAATCTTACCTTAAAAAGGTAAGGGAAATGCGAGAGTATAGAAGACAAAGACTAAGGTCAGAGACAATAGAAGAACGTGCTATTAGATTGTGTACTGCTGCAGAGAGAATGAAGAACGCCAGGGCAAAGGAAACGGAGGAGCAAGCAGCAATAAGAAGAATGCAGGAAGCTCAGAGAATGGCTAGGCATCGTGCTAAAAAGAAGCGTTGTTTGGATGAAAATTTAGCAAGAGAAATTTCAAAAATTGCAGAACTCTCAAAAATGCCGGATGCAGCAACCATAGCACAAATGTCAGAAATGAATATGAATAAAATTTCCGCCGAGCTCAAGCAAATGATGGAGAGGGGGAAAGTACCAGAACACATAGTTCAAATGGCTCAACTGGCTGAATTCAGCAAAATGACTGAATTAAATAAAATGTCTCAGGATATGGCCAAAAGATACGAAATGGAGAAAATGGCAGAATATGCTAAGACAACGGAATACATGAAGATGCAAGAAATAGCTAAAATGTCTGAGATTGCTAAAATGAATGAAATGGTCAAGCTTTCGGAAATGGCTAAATACAACGACATCACGAAAATCAATGAAATCGCAAAAATGAATGAGATGATGAAGATGTCTCAGATGGCGAAAATTAATGAGGTTCAAAGGATGAACGAAATAGCCAAACTGAATGAAATGGTGAAGATGACAGAAATGGCTAAATATAACAATGACATAACTAAATTAAATGAAATTGCACAAATTAATGAGATGGCTAAAGAAATCGCAAAGATGAACGAAAAGACGAAAATGAATGAAATGATAAAAATGGCAAACATACAAAATGATATCACGAAAATGCCAGAATATTCGAAAATGGCAGAGATGGCGAAGCTAACAGAGTTGGCTAAATTAAATGAAATTACGATAACAAAATTAAATGATCCACCTCCACCGAAAGTACCAGAAATTCCTCGAATTCCTGAACCTGTGATCACTGTGCCAAATCCAAGAAATCTGCAAAATGTTCAGACTGTACAAGTAGCACAGGCTAGCCCATCCAGTACAATAAACTTTCCTACTGTACCCGGACAGGGTAAATACGCTCAGTTGCTGGTCATAATTGAGGAACTCGGAAGAGATATTCGTCTCTCGTATGCTGGAAGTCGTAGTGCAGCCGAACGTTTGAAAATGGGTATTCAGCATGCTAGAATCCTTGTACGAGAATGTCTGTTGGAAACAGAACATAATGCACGGCAATGATCTGCCAATACACTTAGCGATTAGATTTTTAGCAGATTATTTTAGATAATGCTATGTACATTGTATGGAGTACAGCAGTATATTTTAAAGGGAGTGTCTTAGTGTCCACAAAAATGTATATAAACGTCTAATTCCTACTGTTTCATATTTTATACAGATTTAACGATTGTAAGTTTAATAAACGAAAGTATGAGAGACAGAAAAAATAATAGTTATCCAACTTACTGTCACTTTCAATAATGACTAAACAGACTTTTTAAAAAAAAAATGTACACTTTTGTGGACGCCTAAAAGAAATTAATCAATTAATAATGCATAATATTGGGTATAAATGGAATAAATAAAAAGAAAGATTTCTTTTTTTTTGTTTCTTGTTTCTTGTTTTTGTTTTTTTTTTAATTAAAAAGGACTTAAAAAGGCCGAAACTTTCTATGCAAATATTGTAATTTGCATAATGCATAAATGCAAATCACGAAAGAACAATTCTTTTGTGTTTATTTCTAATTTAGTAAATAGAATAATAATAAGGAGGAACAATTTGTACACTGAAGAGTCTTCGTTTATATTTTCTAAGGAAAATGTACTGCATTTTTTTTGTTAAAACTGTGGGTACCTAGTAATTACCTGTAGTATACGTACAGAAAAATTGATCAAACAAAACGTACCTATGGAAAGTATAATCCTTGAATATAACTGATTACAAGGTATATCTAAATAAAAGAAAACAATTTTCTATAATAATGTGTTTTGATTCCAAACCTTTAATTATACGCGCGTCGATCAATTCGAACATAGCGGGAAAATATTACGCAACACAGCACGCTCTCGGCTCGCTGTTTGTATCGGAAACACGTTGGTAAACGAACAGGAGCAGTGAGAGGTAGAAATTGCTAGTCTAATGAATTAATTTATAGCACATTATACTTAATTTTTGTTTCTTCTTTGTTTGTTTTGTGAAATACATATTCGCGTTTCATTAATATATTATTAAAGGTAAGTTTTACGACATATTTCAAATAAATATTTTTAGCCTAAGGTTATATTTATGCTTTCCTCAGTTTTTTTTTTTACGAATGTTTCACAAAAAGTACATACATAGTGATATATCAAAGTATTTGATTATAATAAAATATATAATTGTTATATTATTTATACAAATGAAGTTGATGCGTTAATCAAATTGTAAGAGATACACCACCAAGATGTTCGGTTCCTTATAATTTAGATCTCCTTCATAAATTATTTGTTAGGATATTTATTTAAAAAAAGGTAGAAGATGGACGAAGAACAAGGAAGTGTTGAAGTTCCAACAAAGGTCACAGAACCAGTACTAAGTGTACCAAATCCAAGAGCCCTACAGCAAACTATTCCTACAGTACCTGGCCAGTCAAAATATATACAACTACTTAATGTCATAGAAGAACTTGGTCATGAAGTTAGACCCACCTATGCTGGAAGTCGTACTTCTACTGAAAAAATGAAGCGTGGGATTGTACATGCCCGTATTCTAGTCAGAGAATGTCTAGTCGAAACTGAAAAAAGTGCTCGCCAATGAAATATGTTTTTTTTATATATTTTTACACATATCTTTCGCCTTGAATTGACCAAATATGGTAAAACCATTGAGCTATAAAAAATGATAAATATGCAGAATCTTGAGAATGAAAGTGCATTTATATCTAAAAAATGCAAGAAGTAGGATGTCAACTTTGTCTACCTCATACTTGGTCTTCATTGAGTCACTGATACAAAATATTTTAGCAAAATAATAGTAATTGAAGAGCCTAAACATAATTTGCAGATATTTCCCATCTTTGTATTTTTATAAACTTGTTAGAATGTATGCATCATCATATATGCACAGTATTTTATAATGTGAAACGATATTTATTAATTTTTATACTGCCAAAGAATATGATGATGAATAATGTATGTCATTTATTTATTTGAACTGTGGACTATGATTAATTTTATGCAAGCAGTAAGTGTGAATGCAAAAGTGTAACTGTTATTATTTATTTTAAAATCAATCAGATGATGCATTCCATAAGACTTAAATATGAGTACAAATATATACAAACATTAGTATAATATATTTAACATTTATAAAAATGCACTAAAAATTCCTTAGTAGATTATTGACAGTACAAATGTTCTTTACAAATGTCAAGGAAATAAATATTTAGCAACAAAATCCATATGATCAAGAATCATAGTATTAATGTAAGCAGTATATTATATATCTGTAGTAGATTATATAGAAGTATATGATGGTGTGTTGAAATAAATACATACTATACAAAGTTTTGAAACTGTGAGAATGAAAAAACAAAGTTCCTATGATACTTAAATCACTCTTTGCTCAGAATTATATAAATTTAGTACTTTTAGAAAAAAAGTTGATTAACAAAGTATTGTTCCTGAAGATATAACATGATCTCAAAGATACTAATACACTTTTGATCGAGATATACTTTTTCTATATGACTATACAATTTACATATATCATATTTTTAATATAAATGTATAAATTAAATAAGTATTTATTGAAGTATACAAAACAGTTTTAGCTATGTACAATTGTGCGTGTATGTGCTGTATTTGAACAAATAATTGTAATCTTGTGAGCATTTTGAAATGTAATGAATAAAGAAATTTTATTGTAAACCCCATATTACTCCGTTTAAAGTTATAGCCTTCACATTGTGTATGGTTTAAAACATTTAATCAAACCAAAATATTACAGCTGCATAGTTATCACTTTAAGGATAATTTGTTACAGATTAAAAAATCAAACATGTTCCATACATTGGATACATTTGATACTGAATTTTCTGCTGACTCTGTCGAATGGTGTCCATCAAATTTTTTCAAAAATATATTTGTATGTGGAACATATCAGTTAATGAAAGACAATGAAACAACTTTGGATACATCCAAGTCAACACGTTTAGGAAGAATCTATATGTTCAAAATTATAGACAATGGATGTCTAGCATTATTACAGAGATTAGAAGTAGCTGCTGTATTAGACATGAAATGGGCACATATGTGTGAAAATCGAATTTTACTTGGTGTTGTAAATTCATTGGGCTATTTGCAAATATATCAATTAAAAAGAAATAATGAAAAGGAAACTTTGGAGTTATTAACAGAGAAAAAAGTTGCAAATGACAATGATGTACTTGCATTATCTTTAGACTGGTGTACTGGAAGATGGATGTATAATAATGAGTCCAATTTAAACATAGTAGTCAGTGACTCAAAAGGTTTTATATCATTGTTTGAACTACATGAAACTGAACTAGTTAACGTTAATACGTGGCTTGCACATGAATACGAAGCTTGGATAACAGCTTTTGATTATTGGGACACAAATGTGATATATAGTGGTATAAATGAATGATCTTAAATTATCATTAAAATAATGAAATAGTTTTGTAATATTGATTACATTTAAGGTGGCGATGATTGCAAATTTCAACGATTTGATAAAAGAACGGGAAATCGTCCTACCGCAATGAATAGGATTCATGGTGCTGGCGTTACCAGTTTGCACAGTAACGTGCTAAGGGAATTTTCTCTATCATCCGGAAGGTGATGCATCGAAACAATAAAATTATCGAACAACGGAGATTTAACGTTTAATTATGTACTTACATACTTTCAGCTACGATGAAACATTGCGATTGTGGGACACCAGAAACTTCAAGAGACCCGTTTCGGAGATTCACCTCGGCGGCGGCATTTGGCGTTTGAAATGGGATCCGTTCGCGCGAAACTATTTACTTGCCGCTTGCATGTATGTCGGGTTTAGAATAGTCGACTGCGAAAAGACGGAGACACTGTCTGTCATTGGCGAATACAACGAGCACGAAAGTATAGCGTACGGATGCGATTGGTCCGTTTTAAACAGTCCGGAAATCACGAAAAATATACTTAAAACGGAAACACGAAATGTATGTCTGATCAGTACCTGTTCGTTCTATGATCATGCCTTAAAATTATCTGCAGTATATTTGAGTGTCGAATAAAAAGAAACAAATTCAACCAAAAAATGTACCTTATCTGTAAGTCCAATATGCATTCGCTGAAAATGGTGAAATTCTTAACTGAAGGTAAATCTAATTACAATTTGAAAAATGGTGCGCCGGCGCGGGAAACGTAGGGCTGTGCTCGCGTCGCTGTTCAATCGACATGGAATAGTTGCAGAACTTGCTGGAAGATGACGGTGCGGGAGCGTGAGCTGCATTTCGCCGCGGCCAGTTCGATAAAAATCAGTCGTTCACAGGGGCTGTTTTGGCGTGGTGTCAGTGCTGTGATTTCTGTGACGAGTTCGCGTGCAGTTCCGCGGTAAATTATCAGTGGACAGTTGCGGTAAGTACACATTCGAATCGTTCGGTCATTAATTCGCAATTTCCATCTTTCACCGGATTCCGTAGCGTCGTGAATTTTTTTTTTCATTGCGACAAGTATAATCAGCTGTGGAACCGTGCGTGTCCTGTCCCTGTGGAGTGACCTAGAAAAGATTTGGCGCGTATCCTTGCACAATTTTCGGGACTAATTTTGCGAACTTCGTCTCACAATTCACGAAGCATCTAAAGCTAAGGTTAGAATACGTTATTTGCCAGCGTCTGCATTTGGAAGGAGGCTCGAAACTCCTGTTTGAGTCCCCCGTCGTTAGGGAGACAATTTCCAGAGAGTTTAATCGAGTTTCCGGGCCGTCGCAGGTCCATCAATTTATTAGCGAATTCAACTGTAAACGATCATCGCGCAACGAGTCTTCGATAGTTTGACGTAGTTTCTAATTACCGATATCCTACGTATTACTCTGCCGTCTTCTAGTTTGGAAATCAGTTGAATCCTTCTGACAGTGCAACTACACAAATTTTTTTTTCGTTTGATTAACAAATGACCGTGCACGTATTTATTTACACAATTTGAACAACGCTTATTGTGAATGTGCTACATATAAATTGTACAAGTTGTTATTTGAAAACTTATAATGTCTCGTAGAAATGTCCACAGTGCCATCATTATGTCGTTTAATCATTCGCTATCTCAGGGTGGGGTGAATAGACATTTAAATCAGTTGTTACTGATAAATTAACGCTACATTGAATAGTTCGTCTTGGGGATAAGATCTGTCTTTCATCGCTGCAGAATTAATGGTAATTTAATCGGAAAAGGAAATATGGAATTGTGCGTCGTTTTATTTCTTTCTGAAGAGTGCCAGTGTCAAGCGCAAAGCTTGCTTGACAGCTACTCTTCTTATTAGACACGGTGAAGGTTACTCGACAGCATATTAATTATTCTCTGCAACTCTTTATCGTTAATCCCCCCGTGATTTAACGGTCTCAACATTGCTCATTTTTTTTTACCATTATTGATCTGTTATTTAACTCCTTTTAACGACTTGTACGAATAAATAGTGAATGGTTCTCACGTTAAGGTTGACAAATGAAATTGTCTCATTGCATCGAACCTTCGAAAAGCTTTGATCGCGACCACTCAATTATCTTTATATGATCGCTGATAAAATTGTGTGACACTGATTGTCAAGAGGTACATCTGTAAAAAGAAAATTGACGTTGATAATGAGAGTCGAGAGCGTTCCGATACCGTTTGTTCAGTCGACCGACTAATCGATTTAAATTAACCGCGTGAAAAGATGGCGTATTGAGATTGCAGTAGAATATGTTCCCTTTTCATCAGGGATTAGTGTGTTCGCAGGTTACGAGATTAGGAACGCAAGTGGAACATAGATAGCGAAGTTGCTTGGGGTTGCTAAGTTTCCTAATTTATCTTCTGTATGAAATCAGGGCGTTGTCATTTCCAATCTTCCAGCGCTTCTGTCGTGTAGAAAATCGAGAAAATAAAATCTCGATTCTGTTTACGTGTGTTCTATCGCGTGCATAGTTTGTGTCCTGCTACTGTTGCTGCTGCCTCCCTCTCTGTGTGTTTATTTATTGTGTGTGCGTACCTGGTTTGTGCGTGTGTGTGGTACACGGTTTAATCGATCTCGCGCTGTGCCAACGTATCGTGTGAAAATGAAATGGTATCAAAACCAGGATATGACATAAAAACCAGCAAACTGGTACGTACCATTTTACCGACGAATTTTTAAAACATTTTTATATCGTGACATTTAGAATATCAAGGTCAGTATCCAAAACTATCTATGCAGTGGCCATCTTCCACGACGCGCTCCATCTATAGATTATTTTATCGATGCCTTGTTCATAAAAATCAGCCGTAATACCTTTTTGAAAGCATATCCGTTGCTTTTTTGTTCCAAAGTGTCTTCGAATTAACACACCTACGCCGAATGATTCGATTTAATCGAGAAATTCACAGAGGTATTTGTGTCACGAAGATGGAAGATTGCAGCATTATGCGTGTGCTCGTTCTCGCGGTACGTTTTCTAATTTACTCGTTGTCCGGCTGTCTCAGAGCGTTCAAGAAATTTCTTCATCCAGAAATGCTTTTCCCAATTAAAGTATCTCGAGAGCACCTTCGTGTTTGGTCTACCGTGTAAGTTACTGTTTCTTGATACCTATCAATTAAGTTCTTCGAAGTAACTCCTTCTAACGTTTGAATTTTTGGTTTAATGTATTGAGCTCCATGAATCATTTATGTTTTCGGGGCACGCGAAAAGGAAACCATTGTAATAGGTTTCACGTTCGAGAACGCTCATTAAAATCAAAACTTTTCGATCCAGCGACGCCTCGTTAATTTAACGAATACAACGAGCACGCGATAGAAAGAATTTCAGCTGTGTTTAAAATACATCAGAGAAACTCAAGAATTTGTTGGAAATCCAATTCACTTGAGAACGAAGCAAACGTGTATTGTTTGTGCCGCGCGATATGATTTTTGCCGTGCTAGTCACCTGGTGTGGATAGTGACTTGACGTTTTCCTTCTCGAAAGTTAAGTTCGTTTCAAGAATAAACTTAATCGAAAGAGAAAGAGGAGGACGCGTCGATGAAACCATGTGTAAACGGTGGTAAGGTAAACTGGAACGTTCGAAGAGAAGGTGATTAAGTTTCAGTTAAGTTTTGACGTGGATCGAAATTGAATCGTAAACTCGCAGAATTTATCATAGACGAAGCACACAGGGGCTGCATTGAATTAAGAAGTTGGCCGGTTTATCATCAACGGAGGGCAATATCGAATTAGAAAACTTCCAAGATGGCCGCTGACGCTGTCACGTCCTGGTATGTATATTTATTTATGTCACCGCGACAAAGACTTTTCGTTTATGAAAAAATGTCAGAGGGGAATATTTTTACGGAAGTATTTCTTGTTTTAGTCGATCCAGGAAACAATTGATAGATTACCGCGATCATCCAACAATTGGACGGGGAGCTGTAGACCCAGTTTCCTCCATAAAATCGTTGGGTAAATGAATGAACACTTAAGAGATTTCATAACTATTAAAGTCGAATTTTAAATGATAATAATATTCATAAATATTTGGCACATGAAAGTTCGATTTTTTAATCACCCTGTAATACAATTTTACATGGTTTATTTCGAACATATCTCAGCCTGGAATTGCGAAATATTCGAAATCATAGAAAACAGAGTCATCCATCCGACTTACACGGAGTCTTTCCCTTCCAGCGCCATCAGAAGCATCCAGCAAGCGTAATTGCGCGCTGGATTGCATCCTGCTTCGCATCCTTCGCGCGTCACAGCTCCTCAAGCTTTTTTTTCTTCTTGTTTTTCCTTTGCTCTCCGTCGTTGTCGTTGCATCTTTTCGTCACGATGTTCCGCGTCGTGACAGAGGCCACGTGTGTGTCGACCGCAGGGGGACACATGTTCCCATCTCGAGAAGATTCTTTCGCGTCGGTGCCTCCTGGAGATTCTGTGGGCGACCCAGTCTCCTCCTTGCCCCATTTATTCCATTATTGGACGATCGAATTACACCCTCTCGATCTTCCAAATATTCTCCGTATTTTTCGCCGTGTAAGTTCTTCGGATGCTCGACACCTGAGCATCTTATTCAACGAGACAAGCGCTGCTTTTGGTAATTATTGAGAATATGGTCCTCAGCGTCGATTTCGATGACCTTGAAATATGTTGGGAATTACTGATATTTATATGAAATTAATATTCATTTTAACCTTTATTTCAGTACTTGAACTAAATTTACCAAATGGTAGAAGGCCTTCTCTTACGCCACTTTTTTCCCTAGCGGAAACCGAGTTTGCTCATGGGGGTGGTTCACTTCACGGATCACAGGACGTTGATTTTAATATTCGAGATGCCAGCTCTTTCACGGTTCCCACCAGGGGAAGCTTTACGTTTGACCCCTCGCCCTATGATTTTCTTGACATCTGCAGTCTCCAGAATTACTTTATAAAAATAAATTCTTGTACTTATCGTGCTCGTACATTTACTTTAAAAGTTAAATATTAATATCAGCAAACTAGTATTTCACTTTGACTGAAAGAAAACAAATAATATTTCTATTTGTTGAATCCATTTTGATATCGTCACCACGAGTCTGACTCGACGTTATAAGGCAAGGGGTTAATATTCTTGAGAATGTAAATGAAATTCCGCGAGACTGAAGGCATACTATTATCGAAATCGTCGTCCGATCTACCCCTCCAAGGGATTCGACAATTCGACACCGTGCACGTCGTGAAATTTGATACAACTGGGGGTGTAGAGCAGATCCGTAGAGGAGTTTTCGACAGTCTACGATACACAGCAGACGACGATTTCGTCACCCCAATCCAACATTAAGCCAAAAAGTGGATGTCAACCCTCGGGCGTTCGAGGGGTGGCAACCTTCTCGCTTACGGGGCTCCGACATTGTTAACCCAGGGCATATACAGGGTGTACCACCCAGACTTGGACGCTTCTGAAAGGATATTATTTGAAATACACTCGACCCTTTTTTACACGGAAAATATGTTTTTTAAAAAATCGTGTAAAAAACCGTGCAAAGAAAAAATGTTTCCTATAATAAAGGGGGAGATACGTTCCAAGTTATTAAAAAACCGTGTAAGATGAAATAAAGAAAATTGTGTGTAAAAAAGTGACGTAAATTTATAGGTAGATACACATTTAAATACATATTTGACAAAAAATAACATAAGTTATACGTCGCTACTTGATAATAATCGCATATGTCAGCAAGAACCCGTATATTCATTGACGCGAAGTAAATATCCACGTTTTCAGTGGAGAAGTTCCAAAATTTCACTATGCTTTCTTGAAATCTGAAGAAACATGTACATTGAATTTCCTCGTTCCATTAATTCTTAGTTCTTCTAAATCGCTTAAAAATGACTTCTCCGAGTGGAAATACACCCTTAATTCGGAAGTTTACGACGAGACTTCTGTCGCCACGCATTTCCCT